TTGTGACAAGACCAAGCTCGTTCTCGCTAATCCACTTCCAGAACTGGACATCCTCGTTCATGGTGCAGGACTTGAGCTTCTTCTTTTGCTCGAGGTCGAAGATCTGCAGTGTTCTAGACTGAGCCTTGAGAGCAATGACCTGTCGGTTCCAGTGCATGATGGCACTGTCGGCCTTGATCGGCCGACGGGTGACGTTGTTGCCATTCTTGAGCTCAATAATAACAACCTCAGGTTGGGCAGCTTCGTTCTTCTTCTCCCGCACACACACGTAAGAGTCGGACTCGAGTGTCTAGCTTCTAGTTAGCTCATGACATTGTTTATCGCGACCAAGTAGCTGGTGGCAGTTTGTGGAACATACGCAGGAGTTGAAGCCAATGCTCTGTGTGTCCACGCCAACATTGGCGAGCTGGACAAGCTCCTGAAACTTGATGGGCAGAGTCGGCATGGCGCCGGTGTGGCCTATGATGAGGTAAAAGGGACCTTTCTCAAATCGACGCTCCTAAGCTCGAGTTCGGTCGAAAGACTGGGAAGAAGAATTGGTATCGATCTCGGATCGATCGTCAGTAATTATGCCGGGGTTGCCTACGGTTGGCGCAGTGTGAGCTTCCATATGCCGCGTGGCAGGAGACGAGATTTCGAAGTAAACAAGCGCGAGGAATCGAAGAGAAAGAAAACAAAAGCGACGACGTGGAGATGCGAATTCCACTGATGGGCGCAGGCGAATTAGTCGTCGAGAGGGAGAGAGGTGGAATGGGTGTTGAAAGTGTGTTTTGGTTAAAGGAGAGAGCAGGAAGAAGGTTAGGTTAGGTCCAGGTCACTTTGGGTTACGTTACCTGTTCTGTTTGGAAGGAGCCACAGGTACAGCTAGCATTGAAGTGGAGAGTGGAGGTGCAGCACTGAGCCAGAGCAGAAGGTACGTACCTGCCTCGAAATACGGCGTGCCTGGGAAGCTAGCGGCCACTGGCTCGCACTGGCCCGGTGTGCCAATGCTGACAGCCTATTTCAAGAGCCAATAATTAATCGCATGGCGCCTTGATTTTCCGAGCCGGCCGAGATTGAGTCAAGCAGGCTTTCGTCATCAACAAACAGGCGCCAATGGATCAAGGAAAAGGGGGAGCATGCATCACTTCAAGATTGGTTACCCTGGACCCATCAGTTAGAATTGAAATGATTCAGCATAAAGCTTTAACCCAATGGCTGATATCTTGCTATGATAGTGGTCGCTGGCTTAAAGTGAGGCTCAATTTGATTTTCGTCAAAATTTGTAGTTAAACTTATTCTGATTAAGAGACCGGCTGTAGCTTGGTAGCACAACAGCTTTGACCTCAATTACAGCATGCTGCATGTGTAAGCAGATCTGACACGGACGGCGCCTGTTTATCAAAAGGTTCATGGAAATAAACAAGGAAGAACAAATCCGAGAAAACATTTACCCTCGTCTGTACTCCGTGTACGGGATCATACTCAGTACATATACCCCCTGTTCATATGACTTATTGAGAATCTCAAGAAACCATTTCAAGGTACACACAACAACTTGTATAGGCAAACTATATATCCTCATGCATTTGATGTGTTCCAGTGCATATCCAAACGCCATTTAGGACCTTGTTTGCTCAAGCTCAAACATATTAAACAAACCCAACTTCAACATCCAACTACGATAGATGTTCCCGATCAATATGATGTGTAACAGCCGCCTCATCTCCTTCAAACCATTCACAAAACGGACACTTGACCGTTTCAACGCCAGCACTGGGAACACTCCCCAAACCCTCATCAAAATCTGGTATGAAATCCGCCAAACTCCTTGGTGGAGGCCCAGTAGCAAACTCATCGTCTCGCCTCACATCCGTATATCGCATAGTAAATCTGGTTGACTGCGTCTGACTTCCCGTCTCTCCTGTCGCTGCAGTAGTGTTGCCCATTCTCTGTACTCGGCCCACCTGACCATCCTGTAATCGCACTTTGATACCTCGTGGATGATTGCCCCGCGTGAGAATATCCTGCACTATTCCTTTCGTCTCTTCTCCTGTGGGTTGGTCTTCTTTCAGAATGATATATACTGAAGCTCCAGGAATGACTTGTTGTACTGTTGGGACTGTGCCTGATGCTTGCTGTGGTGTTGCAGGTGCGCGAGATGGTCGTGATGAGCCTCCTCGTTGGTTATTCTGTTGTTGACGTGGGGGGCGAGGTTGCCGGTTTCGAGGCCGATTTGGCCGGTTCATCGTCGCAAAGAATGATGCTGAGCCCTTGAATAATACAAAAGTGGCTTGTCTTCTTGCCCAAAAATGAGATGGAAAATAAACCAAGGACTCAGGGAGCGCAATCTTGGTGAGGTTAAAACTGATTTGATGATGCATGAGTAACAAATAAGGTACTCACTGTTTCTCATGAAAAAAATTACCCTACAGCAAATATGACATAGCAAAAAGCATATATCACTTACAAACACAAACACAGCCAACGTTCGCAACTAGATTATAGTGGGAATAGAGATTTCATTTTTATTATAATGATACAATTAAGCTGAGATCGTCATACTATTTGTTGCCTCCAATTAGATGACCTAGGTGTTCACCGCTCCAAAACCAGCAATTCTATGTACGTTCGAATTCCACATCGTGCTTGAACCTCAAAGCCTTTGCTATTTTCTCTTCAAGCTTCTTCAGGAATAGGGGAAGGGTCGGGCTTCCTCCTGATATCCTTCCATCCCATTCCAAAAGATGAAAGCACCATGGCACAAGACGTGCCTACAGCAAGCAGAAACGTCGCACGTACACCTCTGGAGTAAGACCACAAAACTTGCGGTAAATCCGCTCCAGATACAACTTCACTGACTGCTCCAGCACCGGCATCGATGATCATGTCAGCGTTGATATCGGGAAGTCTTGCAACAAGCTCATTGCGAAGCTCATGAGTGAAAATGACATTGGCAGCTGTGATAAAGATCGCACTGCCAAAGGTCTGCGAGAAAGTCAAGATCGCCATGGCTATAGGAGTAACATCGGCACTTGTGTTCGCCTGGATAGCGATAATGGGCATCTGTAGACCGAGGCCACGGCCAAGACCTAACAAGATCTGATAACCGGCCCATGTAGCTGTGGAAGCGTAGGGGCCCATGGAAGAGGCCAGACCAAAGCCGATAGAGGAGAGGACGCCACTGGCTGTGGCGAATGGAAGATAATAGCCAACCCTTTGAGCTGCTGTCTGTTAGCTGAAGGACTTCAAGTTCTATACCAAGAGGACTTACCAAGAGCGCCACTCGCGACAGCTGCGAAGATAACACTGAGAATGCTGGGCAGAAGATTGACACCACTAGTGAAAGGTGAAGCATTTTTCGCTGATTGGAAATAGACAGGAAAATAGTACGATGCCACCATCACCGTAGAAAAGAGGAATGACTGTGACAGACACGAAGCCCAGACCTCTCTTGTGCGCACAATTGGAAGAGGAATCATGGCCTCTGAACCAACACGATGCTCCCAGTATATGAAGATAATGAAAAGAACACCGCCGCCACAGAAGAGCCCAATGACAGTTGCAGAATCCCAAGGATACTCAAGACCACCCCATTGAAGAGCTAGTAGCAACATCACTATGCTGGGGCAGAACAAGACGAAGCCGGTGAAGTCGAGTTTCGTTTTAAGAATCTGCATGGCGCTTTCGTCTCTATTGGCTCGATGATCGGGCATATGGACGAATAGAATCAGGACTGCACATATCGCACCGATGGGAAGGTTGATGTAAAAACCTAGATTCATAGTCAGGATTTGTATAAGTCTTGACTAAGGATGAATATGACTTACACCATCGCCAAGTGGTATACTGAGTGAAAGCGCCTCCTATCAAAGGGCCGCTGATGAGACCCAGCTGAGCAAACCCCATGATAATACCAACGAGGGACGGACGCCTGTGAATAGGGACGGCCTTTGCAATCATAGTAAGAGCACCATTCTGGATGCCAGAAGAGCCTATTCCAGCAACGGCTCGGCCGATGATCAACATAGCAGACGACTGGGCTACGCCGCAAATAAGACTGCCAACTTCGAACACGAAGAATAGCGCTAAGAAAGTCCACTGCAGTATGTGAGACTAGGCACTATAGATTGGGCTGGAGCTTACTCACTCTTGTGTTGAAGTACATGTATATTTTGCCGGTAAGTGGTTGTAGGGCAGCACTGTGACATATCGTGGTCAGCAAATGTAGAAGGATTCCACCTAGCGCTGACCCTACCTAGCAAGATTGTATGCACTGGCATACCATCCTATGTCCGGTAAAGAATGAAAGTCCGAGGTTATACGCGGAACAGCCTAAATATCCTTAGTATTGAGTGTAACTCCAAGGACTGAATATGCGAATTACCGTTGAGATGATGGACATATCTAGCAGCATCAAGAATGCAGCAAGCGTAAGGGATATCATCATGCTTGCAAGCTTCCACCCCGATATCCATTCAGTTTCCTCCTCCTCTGTTATGAGTTCGCCATCGCCATCTTCTGATTTCTTCGGCTTCTCGTCTTGATTGGGTTCGTTCAAGGTCGGTGTATTTGAACGCGATTCGGTCTTTTCATCATCGCCGCTGATGGGGTGAGGCTCGTTGCGCTCTGTATTCGATGTCGGCGTAGTCATATTATCCATATTATCACACTCAAAGATAGACCTTCAAACAAGGATGCAGAGTTGGTTGAGCCTTGAGGCTTTCAAAAAGTTGCCTGGCATCTTGGGGATACCGCATTTTTAAACAATTTGACGAAACAGCAATATAAGACATAAGCACTGTCTCTCCTAAGGAATTCATAGTGTACTTTCTAGCCCGGGGTTCATTTGTTGTGGTGTTAAGGCTGAATGTGGTGTCAACGGAGTTGGCTATCGCTTCTGGAACGGAATTCCGCTCAACCATTGAGCTCGCAGAACTAATTGGACCATACGCTTTTCTTGGTCCTTTTCCAGATGGATTCGGTGCAATATTATCTCCCGGTATGCATGCTTCAAGATACTAAAACTCCCATGGCCCAAAAACGTCGCCCATCCAAGTTACATCACCAAAATCAATCATATTAATGTTCACCATGTCCATGGATGCCTGAGCCGTTGAAGGCGGAGGAGGCGTTGGTATCGGCGGACCTGCTCCTTGATTTGTCGGTATCGAAGATGCATTTCTGAGGTGCCGTGACAGTGTAGGTTCCCATGAAATTCGAATGTTGTTCATAATCTTAGCTCCCATAACAAACACCGTTTCTTCACCTGGACTTGTTTTCATCTTGTAGACAGAATCCAGCCGTGTGAAGAATTCAACGACTTGGTCCAGTAGTACAAGTAAGTCTGCTGTATTTCGGACAAACTCCTTGTCCCAAGCAGGATCCTCAGACGTAGTGAGTCGATAGAGGGCGATCTGAACCTGCGACAGCTGGATATAGATTGCAAAGGGTGCTCCTGGAGCTTCTTCCGGAGTTATGCCAAAGAACACGTCGTACCATGATCTTATTGCTTGAAGGCAAGAATACATGCTTTCAATTCGCTGATTGACTGGGATGTTTTGCATAAAGAGTCCGACGGAGTTGATTTGAATCTCTGTCGCGAGCGAATGTGCTTGCAAAACCGCTGGAATCTGTCAGTATGCCTTTCACTAAGAATGCATGTCAGACTCACGGGTTATAGGCATATTCGCTGGCAATCCGTCTCGGACTGCTTGGAGTTTGGCAAGTAAACTCTTTCTGAAAACATATGTGGGCGCTGAAGATGACTCGCCCATGACATCTCGAACAAGCAGTTTCTGTGCCTCATCTGCAACAAGCTGATACCTTACAAATGCGGCCAGAAGCTCGTCAGACGGCCATAGTTTGTCTCTTTCGAGAGCTTCCAGGCAATCACTCATATGCGGTGTCCATTGAAGAGGATCCATCTTGCCAACGAATGATGACATGCTATATATGTCAATAAAGTTTGTAATCTCAGGGAATGTTACTTACACTGAAGTCAAAAACCACAGTGACACAACAGCTCGCCTTTCTTCTTGAGTGCGTAGCCGAGGTGGAGGGGGCCGTCCTCCCCACATCTTGAAACATATTGTGAAGTACTGTTCTTCAACAGGGGCTTTGGTGAGACCGAGATCATATGCAAGTAGGACAGCCATTTGGCAAAATGTGATGATAAACGGCCTGCCTGGACTTGAAGTGGTGGCAGCCCTAGATAGCTAGAGTCAGAACATGTTGCGATGAGAACCTTGGTGATCAACTGACCATGAAATGTAACATATGAGTCCCTGAAGGCAGTCCATAGATCTCTCATGATTTATGATAATTCTCGTGGCGATTTCTTGGCGCACTTGATCTTTCATCTTCATCTGCTGCTCAACACACATAGAGGTGATGTTCATAATACATAACCACAGGAATGGCTTCTCCTTCCGGAGAGTCGCGGCTGTTACATCCTGTGGTAAAATCATGCAAGGAAAGTTCTTCAGCCATTGTTGGAATTTTGCCAGATGCATTTCGGCCTCTTCTGGGGTGGGATCAAGCGAGGCGGAGGGATCTTCACCAATGCTGGATGGGGAGGTATTGGGGTGGGTATTGGCCGTGCTTCTTGAATCATAATTATGAGGCACAGGATACGGACGGGGATAACTTTCTGAGGAGGAAGAGGACGCTGCAGCAGTTGCTAGTGATTCTAACCGGCTAGTGAGGTGACCCATGTTGGAGGAGTTCATCAAGGGGCTTGAGTCACCGGGACCTGCGGAGTGCAAATGCCCATTTGACGGCTGAGAAGCGCGCAGAATAGTGACGAGGTCTTCAAGTTTCTCTTCAAGCTGAGCGGTTCTAGAAGACGTTGACTTTTTCGCAACCCGTTTGCGCGAGGTTGCCATTGGCTGACATGGCTTGCCAAGACGATGGCATCTTTCACAATCCTGGCCAGAAGGTCTCAAGATACACTTGCATTTAGCTCTTTGACATGCAGTGCAAGCTCTGCCATAGCCAGCGGGAGTCCCTGTCGTACTAGAGGCTGCAGAGCCTGACAGTTCGGGTGGTGCCATCGGTTTAAGGTTGTGTAACTGCTGCGCCAAGAGACCTCGCGTACGTAAACAAACAGACAAACAAAGAAGTGATGAACAAATCCCGGTTGCGCAGTAGGGCTGATAGGAATTCGAGAATCAGTTTTGAAGGGGTTTGGTATGGGAATTGAAAGAGATCGGAGTTAGGGAATGCCGGGGGGTTAAGATAACGGAGTTCGGAATTCGACCAATTCCGTATTACTATATCCAAGCATTCGCAATTCTATGATGACCCGAAGTACAGTCGATGAAGCCATGAATTCGGAGAGATTTAGCCAGATCATCATGTGTTATCAATCAGAATGCCTCTGGTCTGATTTCAATGCGTGGCGTGAAATTCTGTTTTCATCATCAAATCCCTACGGAATCTGGCCAGCCCTGCGGAGTCTACCTATGCCGGCTAGGCCAGAGACTTCACTAGCAGTAGGCTTATCTCTATACCAGCATTAGTAGTTATTGGAACTTTTTATCACGTGTAGTTAGACCAACAGATCTTCCTGTTGAGAGTCTTATACCCAAATCACTGACATTCATTTTGCTATTTCTACACCTTTTCATGGCTTCTTAGTTTATACTATAGTACATATGTAGGCTGGGTACTCCGTATAAACAATTTGTTTAGTCGAAATTGCCGTGTGGTTACTTCTACCGGTACAAGCCGTTATACAAGCATGGTTTACAGTTGCAAGTTTTAGGATGCTTAAAGAAGGCGAATAGGCGATATGACTTGAAGGAAGAAGATTTTCTCTTGAATTGAATTCATGACGATCTATTCCGCGAACTTTAATCTTATCTAAAGAACAGGGAACCAACAATATCTTTTGTCCTTTGCTTTCCTGGTCAGATCTCAGGGTTACATTACAAGCCAAATCCGCCTTCCCTTTATTGGGCGCAAAATCTACCAGCACGCCCCTTAATTGGCTGGACATGACTTAGCTTCAGGGGCCAATCAAAGCCGGTGTTTCCCGCTCTTCTCAATCAACTAACGTCACAAGCGTACCTATCTTCGGGTCACTTTACCTTGTAGATTTCTTCTCAATTCCATCTTCATCGCCGACATCGCAGTTCCCAATAACCATAGCCAACCCGTCAAATATCACCATGGCAGTTCCGTCTGTCGTAGTAGCTGAGATACTGCCTCGATTCCTTCTCCCTCGTCTCAGCTGGGGCCCTCCACTCTCCGTATCACGGGCGACCCGACCATTTGCCTCTATCCCTTCCAGCGATCAAAGGAGGTCATTCGCATCAATCCAGGCTGGTCCTGTTCCCAGACGTCGCTCTCCGCCAGCCGAAAGTCCTATTGTAAAGCGAGCGTTCCATGCGACAACCATCAGACAACGAGATCACCATTTCGATACGCTCAAGTTTGTTAAGCGATTACAGGGTGAAGGGTTTACTGAGGAGCAGTCGGCTGCAATGATGAAGGTGTTGAATGATGTTATTGAAGAGAGGTGCGCTCTATTTTTCGAACATACTCTCCCCATGTTAATTGACCATACAGTATCCAAAATCTCACCCGAACAATGGTACTCCGCGAAGATGCAGCAAAAGCAACATACACTCAAAAGGTCGACTTTGCCAAGTTGCGTTCCGAGCTTCTCTCCGCCGACTCTACCGAATCCAACACGACGCGCACAGCTCACGAACGATTGACAAACGACATTGCCAAACTCAGCAACCGACTGCGCGACGAGATCAGTCGAACACAAGCTAGCGTGCGCCTCGACCTTAATTTAGAGAAGGGCCGTATTAGGGAGGAGGCTGTGGGCCAGGAGCTCAAGATCAAGGAGACGGAGACAAAGATTGAGCAGGAGGTTGCTGCGCTGAGGGAGAAGCTGGAGCAGGTCAAGTTCCAGACACTCCAGTGGCTTATGGGTGTGTGCACCGGTTTCGCGGCGCTGTTACTTGGTGCTTGGAGATTGCTCATGTAAAATCTGGGTGCATCGGGTGGGTGTTGTTTGGAGTCAGGCGGCTTGGAGTTGTATAAACAGTGTCATGGTTCACCTTAACCGATAGATTTTCTAGTGTCTGAATTCAAATTTGTGCATAACATATCACTTATTCTGGCTTGATTTGATGCGGATCAGATCAATTCAACTTGCCTCTAACAACTCCCCATACTTGAATACTCTATAATGTTGTGCTCGTTCCGGATTTTATGATGAAGAGCTTTCGATGGCGCCTTTTAACAACAACTTCAAGGACTCAACAGAACACACCCCGCCCCCGCCCCCACATCACCCCGCCATAGACGGACATTGTATGTCCTTGATTCGGGATGTATTGTCTGTCGGCCGGAAAGCCGAAGGTCCTTTGATAGTCCGACCGGACAAGAGAGATCTGACTCGATGTTGTGACAGATATAAACCCATTTGAAGGATCTCAAAAGCCTCATCCCTTTCCCCTATCGTTGATATTCCTCAAAACTGTTCAATATGGCAGATAAACCAAAGGTCCTCTTCCTAGGCAGTATCAAGCAGTAAGTTCTGTTCATACCTCAAGGAACATGAATGTTCTATATTCTCCATCTACAGATATCGCAGTTAACATGCTGCTCTAGAGCTCACGAAGAGTTCGCATCGCTCTGTGAGATTGTAGAACCTGTCTACCCAAAGTCGAATCAGCGATCTGCTTTTATAGAAGAGACCGAGTCTGGTGCGTTCGATGGAGTCAAGGCTATCTACGGTACAAACAAGTCTGTTGGCATTACTGGACCCTTTGATGCTGAGTTACTGGATGTCTTGCCCAAGTCTCTCAAGTTCATTTGCCATAATGGTGAGTATTTCGAGTATACCGTGACCAGGTTTACTAAGTAACTACTCCAGGCGCCGGATATGACCCAATTCATGTCTCTGAATGCACCTCTCGTGGTATCCTCGTTTCAAACACACCCACAGCTGTAGACGATGCCACGGCTGATATCACTATCTTTCTTCTCATTGGCGCCTTGAGAAATATCTCATCCTCCATCTTCACTCTCCGAGAGGGAACTTGGCGGGGCACCCCTCCACCATCGCTTGGTCATGATCCTCAAGGCAAAGTGCTAGGTATTCTGGGCATGGGAGGCATTGGTCGCAATGTTGCACGCAAAGCCCGCGCTTTTGGCATGACTGTGAGGTACCACAACCGGAGCCGGTTATCACCTGATCTAGAGGACGGTGCTGAATATGTTGACTTCGAGACACTTCTCAAAGACAGTGATGTATTGAGTCTCAACTTACCCCTGAACGTGAGTCTGGTCATAATTAGAGTATTCTCGGGATTCTGGACTGACCGTTTACAGCCCAAAACCCGGCATACTATCGGAAAACCTCAATTCGACATTATGAAGCGTGGCATTGTAATCGTCAACACCGCTCGTGGTGCAGTGATGGACGAAGCTGCTCTCGTCGAGGCTCTCGAATCAGGACAGGTTGCCAGTGCTGGTCTTGATGTCTTTGAGAACGAACCAGAGGTTCACCCAGGGCTCTTGAAGAATAAGAACGTCTTGCTTGTTCCACACATGGGAACTTGGACTGTAGAGACCGAGAGACTGATGGAGGCTTGGGCCATGGACAATGTTCGTCTAGCAGTGACAGAAGGAAAGTTAAAGAGTATCGTTTCTGAGCAGAAGGATCTGCAATAGGCAGTAACTCTGTCTGTACATCATACCTTAGCGGTTTGAAGAGGTTCTGAACGTATAGAACAGGCGAACAAAGAATAGATAGATAGCCCAACTGAATCTAGTATGTTACACACACATCCAAGCTGATCTGACTTCGAGTACTTGGAATGAAAGTCCTTCATCGCTTCTTGAACTAGATTGGATGATAGATTGCAAATAACCTTGAATCTTCTTAATTCAATTTAGCTGGCTACCTTGAAGTGAAACAACTCAACGGTTCAAATGAGCCCGGAAAACAGCAAACCCAAAACAAGCCCAGAGTTACGAGATGGCTTCACCCCAAGGCTACGTGGATGTGACCCAACCTTTGCACGGTTGCACAGTCAGGATATCATGATGGAAGAATCACATGAGAAGCAATAGCGTTAGAGTCAGAATATCTCTTTTTGAAGTTCTACTCTATCCTGGCCACGGTTGACGGGCCTGCCTGTATCGAGTTACCATCTCATCCATCCCTGTGGGGGAGGTCTCGTCTTGGTCATATCCGTCCATATCATTCCATTCATCATCCATTTTTATAATCTCGAAGGGGGGAATCATGATTAGCAAAAAAGCCAACGCCATTTTGTTGAAAAAGCAAGATTTTTTTGCCCCTCCCTGCACCCTGCGAGGAGTCTTCTCTTTGATGATTTAGAGAAGTAACCCAAATAAGCAGAAACAAAGAAGAGAAGAGAAAAAAAATCAGAAAACCGCAGATGTCCTTGTAACTCTCCCAACCCATATGCCATGCAAGTTCATGCTGTTGAAACTAGAATTTTGCCGATTGTCATGTCGACAGAAGAGGGAAAAGTTCGTTACACGTAGGAATCCAGTTGAAGGATCCTGGGTATTGATTACACACGCTTAGTAGCGGTAGATATCGGCCTTGAAGGGACCCTCGACGGTGAGGCCGAGGTACTCAGCCTGGACCTTGCTGAGGGTGCTGAGCTCAGCCTGGCAGTGGTCGAGGTGGAGACGGGCGACCTCCTCATCGAGGATCTTGGGGAGGACGTAGACACCAACGTCGAGCTTGTCGGTCTTGGCGAACTCGACGTACTTCTCACCCCAAGCCTTGTCGGCGGCCTTGTACAGCATGATCTGGGCAAGGACCTGGTTGGTGAAAGAGCAAGACATGACGAAAGAAGAGTGGCCAGTAGCACAGCCAAGGTTGACAAGACGGCCCTCAGCAAGGAGGATGATGTGACGGCCGTTGGGCATGAGGAAACGGTCAACCTGGGGCTTGATGTTCTGGACAGAGCTGGCGTTGGCCTTGAGCCAAGCAACGTCAATCTCGATATCGAAGTGACCAATGTCTGTTTACCAATGTCAGTGATGAATCATTTAGTGAAAGAGCGATGTAAACTTACTGCAGACAATGGCGTCGTTGGGCATAGCCTCGAAGTGCTCGCCAGTGAGGATATCACGGCAGCCGGTGGTGGTAACAAAGATTTGACCGACCTTGGCGGCCTTCTCCATGGTGGTGACTTGGTAACCGGCCATAGCAGCCTGGAGAGCGTTGATGGGGTCAATCTCGGTAACGAGGACGCGGGCACCCATGCCGTGGAGGGCCATGGCGCAACCCTTACCGACATCACCGAAACCGGCAACGACGGCGACCTTGCCAGCAATCATGACATCGGTAGCACGCTTGATACCGTCGACAAGGGACTCACGGCAGCCGTAAAGGTTGTCGAACTTGGACTTGGTGACGGAGTCGTTGACGTTGATGGCGGGGACAAGGAGCTTGCCATCCTTGAGCATGCGGTAAAGGTGGTGGACACCGGTGGTGGTCTCCTCAGAGACACCGAAGCAGTCCTTGAGCATCTCAGGGTACTTCTGGTGGACAAGGGTGGTCAGGTCACCACCGTCGTCGAGGATGAGGTTGAGCTTCTTGTTGTCCTTGAAGGCAGTGAGCTGCTGCTCGAGGCACCAGTTGTACTCCTCCTCGGTCTCGCCCTTCCAGGCAAAGACGGGGACACCGGCGGCGGCAATGGCAGCAGCGGCGTGGTCCTGGGTGCTGAAGATGTTGCAGCTGGTCCAGGTAACCTCAGCACCGAGAGCAGTGAGGGTCTCGATGAGGACGGCGGTCTGGATGGTCATGTGAAGGCAGCCAGCAATGCGGGCACCGGCGAGAGGCTGGTCGGCAGCATACTTGGCTCGGGTCTGCATGAGACCAGGCATCTCATTCTCAGCGAGCTCAATCTCCTTGCGGCCAAAGGCGGCCAGAGAAAGGTCAGCGACCTTGAACTTGTGGGCGGGAGCAGACATGATGAATGGATGTGGAGGAGGAAGGGATGAAAGGATGGATGAGAGGAGAAGGAAGAAGAAGAGAGAATAGAAAGAGGAGAAGAAGGGATTGAAAAAGTCGAATGGGAAGTGGAAGAATATGTAGGTTGTAGAATCAACGAGATAACATTGGGCGGGGCAGAGAGAACTGCTTCTATGGGCTGAGAGCCTCTGGAGGGGCCTGGAGGGGGAGGGGTTGACCAGGGCCCAGCAGTGTCAGTGGGGTTTTTTTCGCGGGCGGTGAAGTCAATGGACGGCAAAATGAGGGGCAGAATTTTCTTCTGCCATTGAGGCCCAGCAATTTTGAGGCGGGGCAGCGCAGAAATGCACTCCGAGTCCAGTCGATCTCCAGGCTAGGTACTTGTAAGCGGGTGGTTGGCTGGGTGCTGAGCCTGGTACCCTGGAGGAACCTGGCGGTTTGAAGCGCCAAAAGGTACCTCCGAGCGAGAGTGGATCTCAGGGACTCGGAGAATCCACCAGAGGAAAAAATAAAGAGGAGCTTTCTCATGATGGGAAGCTCCTCCAGGTCTTGGTACGAATACGGGACTAGTGAGAAGGAGACCACGTTGATTTTTCTCAACCAGCGAGTGGGCAAATTGTTAGACCTCTGTTCTGCTGTCTATAGTGACTATCTGATCTTCAATTGTTCGTTCCGACTGTGCATATGTAACTTGCTTCGTACAGATGCAGCTTTGGCTGACTTTGACTTGACCCTTGGATATTCCCCGCTCGGAAGCCGAGCACCGCTTCACGCGAACACTACGGGTCATTGATCGTCTGCAAGCTACGAACAGACCGACTAATCTGTATATCCGAATATTCTGAGGGGAGAGTCAGCTCGGAGGCACCTCTTTGGTCTTGCTATAAGGCTCACACTGAAACCAGACTCATCACTTCGTCTCATATGCCTTCTCGGCGTGTAAGAGTGAGATGAGATATTTATACAGTGAAACCTGGTCTTGGATCAACTACGAACCACATCAAATCCCGATGTTATTTGCCGAGTTTACTGAAAGACAAAACAACAAGCCGACAGTACCAATGAACTTCTAAACGTAAAATTGTTTCAATGCTCTCAGACTTTGAGAACTTGATTGCAGGCGCTATCTACGAAGCCAGCTTTTTATGACCAAGGCAATGCTACAGTCGTGTCCATCTCTTCGTGACTCCTCAACATCAACACATCAACACATCAACGTCAGGCTGGCCCCTCATGTACTCATCAAGTGCTCCTCTCTTTCTCTCAACGCTTTAAAATCTAGACCAGCACTCGATATTATCGACATTGTCCGGAACGCCGCCAATGCAAACCATCACTGAGCGTCTCGTATTCCTGAAATCCCCCGAGACTTTTTGAAATCCCCGTCTCGCCCGTCCTCCATCTATTTTGGCATCAAGTTCTCCCGCACGGCAAACATCTTGGCACTGACGTTGGCTGTGAATCCATCCACCTGCTTGCTGTATTGCTCCACCTGCTTCGCGTTCAGCATACCCTCCAGTCTGCTGGGCTCCTGGGGAAGCTTGAACAGTCGCTGCCACTCATCCTCGGGAAGAGGAGCTTGCTTGGCAGCAGCACGTTGGGCATTCTCAGCCTTGCGCTTGGTCTGCCATTGTGTAATCTTGGTCTGCTCACGACCGAGTTGTCGCTGGTAGAACTGGAAGTTGTTGAGGTCGGTATAGTGAGACTCGATGCTCTCGAGCAGAAGATCGCAGGTCTTCTCGAGGAAGGGGTCGATCGCAAGGTCGAGGTTGTCGATAGAGGGGTACAGAGGAGGCTCGAGAGCGTTACGGTTGAGGTCATCCAGCGATGAGGGTTGCTCAATATCACCCTTCACGGGAGCGGAAGGAATCTGGTGGAGGAAGGTTGTGAGGAGGTGAGAGTTGTGGACGTTGACAGGGACCTCGGTGAGGATATCCTTGAAGGTGAGCTTAGACTTTTGCAAGCTGTTACTGGTTAGCATCTCTGTCTCTGGTTGTGGTAATAGCATCATCGTACCTCTCGGTTGTGAACTTGCCCTCCTTGTATGCGCTCATGAAAGCAGGGGACAGGCGGAAAGCCCGGAAGGTCAAGTTGCCCTGAGAGCTCTTGCTAGCATCGTGGACGAGGGCGACAGTGTTCTCGTTGGCGCTTTGGTAATGGAACTGGTTCTCGATGAAGTTCAAGTTGACAAAGTTGCCCATGGTGGCACTTGTGTACCAACCAACGTTGTTGGCGTCGACGTTGACCTCCTTGAGGTGTCGGATCATCTCATTTTGGTAGTGAATGTTGTTCTTCTGTCGGGGAGCAGCAGCGGCGATCTGCGAAGCATCGTTCTGGTGGCTATCGGTCGTAGCGGGGTCGACGGTAGGGAAAGGGAACGTGTTGGTGACCTCGAGAAGACCCTCGCTCTCCATACCAACAATGGCTCCAGTCGCAACAGAAGGGAAAGCCGAAGAGCAGTGCTTGGCAATCTTCATGATAACCTACACCACCGACTGAGGTCAGTCCCATTACTCTTTACTCGTCCTTCAAGAGGGGGTCTCAAAGACCAAAAGGTGGGGCATATTCAACTCACCAAAGCCTCGACTTGAACGGCCTGGAAAGGCGCAGCAACAGGCGCATCGTTGGGAGCGTCCGCCATATTGACAAAAATTCGGGACGAGATATTCACGGTGCCGCGAGAGAAGGATAGAAGTTCGGCGCTACGATCGCGAAAGAGGCGAGTGGTGTTGCAAGGCTTCGGGGCTCTGAAAGGTGGGAATATCGAAACTTTTCGTTCGTGTACTCATTTGTGGGCTGTGGGATGTCTAGGCGGTGACGTGTGGCAGATTATATATCCCGCGATTGACGTTACGAGCCGGCCTACGATCTTCGTTTATCACCACCAGGCCAAGCATACGGCGGCCAGAAGAGTGCCTTATTTACCCAAATTTACCGATTTCACGCTCGATATCATGATACGGACTGGATGTGTACTTTGTCTCTCTTATGCGTCTCTTCGCGGTCCGTTCGGAGCTGGGCACCTTGCCCTCACTCTCTACAGACGTTCAATGCCATCAACTAGAATATCACGAGCAATCTAAAATCTAATTATTGTTTTATCTCATTTATAATTCTATCATCTAACTCATTCTCAGAGCAAATCATCATTTTCCCCGGCAAACGCCATTCTTTTTTCTGTCCCATGTTTTTCTGACCCTCAAGACCGACACCCAACGCCTCATAAGCTTCTTGAACAAAAGGTTTCAGAAGTCTCAAACCTTGTCCTCTAATCATGCCAGGGAATAATCTCCCAGCTCTCGGCATTGTCCCGAATGATAAGTCGATGTTGATCAATCCTCCAAAATGCGTACAAGGAGCGAGTTGCTCCAGCAGCCTTGCGATGAGCTGGGCCTGTCCCACCCTTCTTAGCATCTTCCCGCGAACGCCAGACACAAGTCGCTAAGTTGGCCAATTCTGAGTCAGGTTCTCCAAACCAGTATCTGTTCGTGTCAATACAATAGACTCATGCAGAAGATGCTCTTCCAGCTTACTTCAGGAATCCACCACTCGCCACGGCCTCAGCATGTGCCCCCTTGTCGAGAACACCGAGGTCAGCATACTCGGTCTCCTTTTTGATTCGTGATCGGAATGCCACGATATAAAACGATGTTTCTTTGAAGGGTTTTCCGGATTCGACCGCAAGACGTTTCACTTCTTCGATCACCTCTGGCCAGTTGAAGGATTCTGTGTATGGGGCTGTCGCATAGTCGTCGCGGAGAACTCGAAATTGACTCAAGGCTCGTGCGAGGAGCTCATTTTCGTTGTCAAGAGTGTCGAGGTCAAGCAAATGCTCATGTTCCGTATATGGTGATTGGATAAGATACCGATGGTTGGCCGCGAGTTCCGGGCTGATTTCTCTCACTTCGGCTTCGGCAGCTGTTTTGGAAAATACGTCGAGTGAGGATGCAGGAGCCGTTTGCACATCTGCAGTTGCCATTGTGGGTTATTTAAGTTTTGCTGTGTGTTCAGTGCCGAGTGCGCAGTCAAGACAGAGTGAAATGTTTTGGGTATCTCAACACACAATGGCAGAAGATGGAAGGGGAATATATGGAACTACGAGTCAGGGCGCGGCGACGGCGACAGCGAGTCATCAGCAATTTATAGCACACGATACATCTTTACAGCCTCTTAGGCAATCAAGCCTTGAATAACGTGCTCAAATGACACCATCCGAGCCGGACGACGACGGTTACACATGTGGGTCGGTGAAGGCTATCAAAGGGTCTTTCTGCCGGTAGTTCTGGAAGTTAATCACTTATTAGTGCGGGTGGTCGGGCGTCTCAAAAATGGCACTCCTTGAACTAGACCGGTCAAGACTTGTTGACCGAGTCAGCCAGGCGGGCCATCTGGAGATCGGAGAACTCTGCAACTCGTATTTGCTAGAGTACTACAAATGGCTTCGCAGAATAACGAGGTACATCGGAATTCTCGTTGTCTCTGAGAGATCCGGAATCTCGCATATCAGAGACAGGTATGTATGTATCTATGGCGACTTCTCACCAAACCATGATGAAATACCGGGATCGGCTACAAGTAATGAGCGAGATCCTTCCTTCACCGCCAGAAGAACGCTTCATCAAGCATTTCACCGGTTTCGGGCATTCATGGAAGAACAAGGCGGAGGGTCGGAACAAAGAAGGAATTATACTTTTATGTACGGAGTAACCAGGGGTCCTTGATAACACGGATGTGAGACTAACGCAGGCCAAACTGCAATGACATGTGCCTACGGTTGGCGCTAAAAGAAAATGGCCGACGGTACGACCCAACCGACCATCTTGAATTACTACTACACCAAACTGATACAATACCACATAGTCGCGGTCAGCCGAACACTTGACGATAATGACTTTTTGTTGGCAGTTGTCAAATAGCTGATGTACACACTACATTCCGAGAAGTATGCGATAAACCCCTACCTAGTCAAAATCAACTCTTAAAGCTCTTGGAAGTTTCATTTACAGGCATTCTTTTGAAGCAGCATAATTAGAAAGCATGAGCATCGTTCTCAGCGTGCCTTACTAATTATAGTCTAGCCCTATAGAAGACACAATCTGGCATTGTCGAATGAATTCTCTGAATTACGAGCCTCCCTCGGGTTGTCGCACATAACTTTCTGAAGACGTCAGAAGCCACGGGGATGTCGACATCCGATCTACGATCGTGCTCGTTGATCATTGAATAAGTTCATAATTATTGTAATTGTGTGATATTATCTGTTGGGGTCTTCATATTGGTCAATTGATATAGAGATCGCTAGAAAATATGATCGAATGTCTATGTCTAATTGGTCTATCACAGCTTACCTATATCGCACACCATCACAATGGACCATCGTCCTCCACATCTGCCTTTCCCCTTCTCAACCAAACTTTGGCCATCTCATACGACCCCAGATAAAGTCCACTCCCTAGCATCGTCCACCCGGATCGCAGAGCCGCACCCCGGAAGAATCCCCGCACTCCCCTCTCTTGGTAAACCTCCTTCGAGACAGTCCACGCCCCCTTCTTTGGTTGCTTTCCCTCCATCTTGGCTGCGACTTCGCTCTGACCTTGCGTCGGATTCTCGTTCTGACTTCCGGCACTCAACATCATCCTCGTCTTGACAACATCACTCGGTGTCGTTATGAAAGCAGCTATTGATCCAGCACTTCCGGCACTTAAACCCGTAGCGAGCCCCGTCTCGATAAGCCCCGGCTCCGAAGTTCCGGGAGCTCGCGATTTCCAATATGTTGCTCGCACATGCTCGAATATAGGGAATTGAAGAGCTGTGAATGGTAAATTTCGTGCGACTAGTGCTGTGTAGCCTGTGAAAAGGCGACGTGATACTCCATCACCGGCCAGCTGACGGAATGCTTGCAAGGAGGTGGAAGATCCAGATCGTCCAGCCCCGTGACTATCATTTTGCAACATCTGAGCATTTTGCTTGATGACCTCTGCTGGCGCGAGGACTAAGCAGGATGCCATCTCTGCCACCCCTGAGGCTGCTGAGTGAACCAGGGGTTGAGGCAATGGCGTCGCATTACCGATGATGCGTTTGGCGCTCTCATATGTCGAGAAGAATAGACCCGCTGTTAGTTGTGTAAGCCAACAATTCTTCGTGTTTCGTCTTCTAATACATACCTGCTGGAAGAGTAGCCAGGACCACACTTCCAATGCCCTGGTAGAGTCCTCGTACAGCCCATATGTTCTTTTTCGAGCTGTCGGAATATGTCTTGAGGTAATCTTGACTCTGCAAACGAGTCTTGATGGTGTCGAGAGGGTAGACCAAGACGTCTACTGTAAATGCTGCAATAGCACCAGCCTATGAATGTGTGAGTGAGTGTATCATGACCAGAGCTTGGCAATTTAGCCAGTCTTACAATATAGATGTCCGACATGTTTTTCCTCAGACGCCTGCTGCATGGATCGTGATGATGAATTTCTTCCAGGTTTGTAGTGAAATATGGGCTTTCTTACACCATGAACTGGTGATGTCATGGTTGTGTGCTTATACCCACTCTCGGATTACCCTGCACTTCGACTCATCATGGAAACATCTCGAGCTCGTAGCATGTGAGGAGACATGAAATAGCCTGGAATGAATATACCACTCTAGTTCTAGTATGATTGTCGATGGCCTCCCAGTCATGTCATAAGCAAGTCAATTCATCATAAGAGCAATTCTATATCGAGTTCAACATCTCACTCATCTTCTGCGTAACTCAAGTAAGATAATACAAATCAGAACTACTTTTAGAATTAAGAATGTATATGATCCCATCTCTTGACGCCAGCCCATATACAACCCCATGATTCAAGCAAGCCGGCGCTTCCCCTGCCGTCTATGTGACTTAATACTCCAAAACGTCCCAAGATAATAAATCACCAAAATGCTTGCGTTTCCGTCTTTATAAGATGTCCTCTGCTCTATCATAAAATCGCGCCGTAAATCGAATAACAAAGGAAATCATAGCTTGCTCTTTACAGCGGGGGTCGTCTCGTTAACTACTGCCACCACGACACAAATATCGTCGACTTTGCCGCCGTGCCAGTTTTCTTGGGGATAGTATTTGTGGACCTCCTTGGCGAATGGCCCATCAAGTTTTGTGTTGACGCTGGCTCGCTTGGCGGCCGTCACGATTTCCGTAGCGAGTGCGCTCTGGAGTGTAGCCGTTCGTTTGCCTTCGGAGGCTTCAGGGAACTCAACCAGAGGCTCTAGCGAATCCGCAACGCGCACACCACCAGCATCAGTCATTACCCAGGCGCCTGTGGATACCAGAACTCGACTGGCGATTCGTAGAATATCTTGGTTAAAGAGATTGTCTAGAACGCCGTCGGTCGCAAGAACAAGAATATCGCCGTGACGGAGCGCGTGCTGGGTAACGTCAGCATCCCTGGGAAGGTCGCTAAGCTGAGCACCACCAAAAGCTGCCATGCGAGCAGCAACGCTGGGAGGCACAAGGGATAGTTGAAAAGGAGTATTGAAGGCGTGCGTTTGGGGTTCGGAATATGTGTGAACTCCATTGAGTCGAAGTTGCAAGAAGCCGGAATCACCAAGGTTCGCAACGTCCAGATTTCCATCTGCTCCAGCAATAGCCACACACGCTGTGCTTCCGCCAGCGCGGAGACTGTTGTCGTTGCAGATTGCTTCGTATCCCTTCTGCATCAACTGTCTTGCTGTCAAGGGAGGCCCTGATCCAGTCTGGTGTTCGTGGGCAGCCAATGCCATATAATCGCAAAATCCGTGTGAGAAATCGGCGGGGTCGACACCGGAATCTACCCAGCCCCCGACTCCATCAGCAACGCCAAAGGCTACTGACCCGGAGTCGTTGATCCGGCTGACGAAGAAGGCATCGTGTCCAGATTCGGGTCGAGCGGAAGGTCGACGGTTTCGAGGGGGCTGAATGCGATTGTATGGGTTGAAATGGAAGACGTGAGTGGAGGGGTCGTATGGCCTGTCCTTGGCAATGAAAGACGATGCGACATGGTAAGAGAATCGAGGAGCATCGGTGGAGGTGGAGTAGAGTCTGGAGCGAGGGCACGAACTCATTGCGATATGAGGATGAGCACGGAGTCGAGAGGAGGATTGCGTCGGAGCTAGCACAGTTAGAACTAAGGGTGCTCGGGTTTCATAATAGCAATGCGACCAACCCTTAGCAAGCGTTCGCAATGAAGCCGTAGCAAGTCGATTGTAAGGTGCAGCCATGGAGGGCTAGAAAGTGGATCATCCAGAGACAAGAATCGATGCGAATAGTGACGGGTCGGAGCGACGATGGGAGCAGGATTAAAATATTGGTGACGATACGACTTTGGAAGAAATTACAGAGAAATCATCTTTGCCAAGGAGATCGTAAGAGAAAAAATTGGTGTCATGAGAGAAGTGGGATCGTGAACGGAGAAACAAAGTTGTTGAGCGCCGATTTACCAACTTGTTATCTAATCTTGACTGGCCAAGCAAGCCCCTCCAATGGATATCCTTTCACAAAGACCCAATTCCTCGGAACAAAGAGACAAGCCACATATGTAAGATAAAAGGAGGCGGTGCATGGTTCGAAGCCACTGCATGCTTCTCCAATATTTCCCGGAATCTCATCTCCGCAATTATTGATACCCGCTGTTGATCCGCGATCTATATCCGCGAGGAAGGCACGTCACGTGGTTTCACGAGCGCTGTTCCTGCCGATTCCGAGACCAGCAAAGCCGAAGTTGACAATCGCAAATTTGTGATTGGCCAGAGGTCATCCGTAGGTCCCAGTGTAAACTGCAATAACCGAGGAAGGTTTGCCAACCCAATACATGACGACGAGAATCCTCGATACGCCACTCTTTGCGAATAGACAATTCAACTCTATCGGAGGAGATTGCACGGCATTTCTTTCCTGTCAATTGTCTGACCACAGCTCCAACTAAACATTGCGAAGTTTGACTGTCCTTCTCCTCCGGTCCCAATCGCAATTGTACTTCCTCGATTCGATTATTCGTCAAGATGGCTGCTCTTCGATCTTCTTCCCGACTCGTCGGGGCCTTCTCAAGGACGGCTGCTTTCCGACCTGGTGCTGTCTTCACTCGTTCTATGGCCTCAGTCAGCGAGCCTCCCAAGGACTCTAATGCCAACCTCAAGTCTTTCCAAATCTACCGATGGAACCCCGATACCCCCAGCGAGAAGCCTCGTCTTCAGACCTACACTCTGGACCTTAACAAGACTGGACCTATGATTCTCGATGCCCTCATCCGAATCAAGAACGAGCTCGACCCTACTCTGACCTTCCGACGAAGTTGCCGTGAGGGTATCTGCGGTAGCTGCGCCATGAATATCAACGGACAGAACACTCTTGCTTGCTTGTGTATGTACCCCTTCACCCAGGTCGCATGCGGCAAATCGTGTCGGAAATCGAAGTACTAACGTGTTGCTAGGCCGAATTCCTACTGAGGCTGCTTCCGACGTCAAGATCTACCCTCTTCCTCACACCTATGTCGTCAAGGACCTTGTCCCTGATTTGACACATTTCTACAAGCAGTACAAGAGCATCAAGCCCTACCTTCAACGCGACACCCCTGCCGAAGACGTACGACCCCTTTCTCACTCACGAAATTTTACGTTTACTAACCCAATTCTCAGGGCAAGGAGTACCGACAGACCAAGGAGGACCGCCGTAAGCTCGATGGTCTCTACGAGTGCATTCTCTGCGCCTGCTGCTCTACCTCATGCCCGTCTTACTGGTGGAACTCCGAGGAGTACCTTGGTCCAGCTATCCTTCTCCAGTCTTACCGATGGCTCGCCGACTCTCGTGACGAGCGCACCGCCGAGCGAAAGACCAACCTCGAGAACTCGATGAGCCTGTACCGTTGCCACACTATCCTTAACTGCACACGAGCCTGTCCCAAGGGTCTTAACCCTGGCAAGGCCATTGCCGAGATCAAGAAGCAGATGGCTTTCGGCAACTAGATTAACAAAACCACGAATATGTCGCGAAAACGAGGTGACGATTGGAGGAAGAAGCGGAGCATTTAAAGGGTTGTCGCAGAGCAAAATCTGCGCATGAGATTATTAGGACTTTAACCCTGTGTACAGGCTATGGATGGGAGTTCCACGCTGTGTTCTATAGCAAACTTGGCAATATTATTTTCTTGATTGTTCACCCCTGGTTCCTGCACTGTCATCGTCTTTCTTGTGTTCGCTTGGGTATGAGTCTGTAAACTGACTTTAGCTACACTTGCCACCCCTGTCCTTACGATACCGTACTCTCGAGCGCATCGAAAAGCCTGCCCGTGTTTCAGAAAGAGCACCATATACAGCCCAACTGAGATTCAAGAACTTGGAAAATTGTTCGACAGCTGCGATTCTGACCCTCCGCCCCGGCTGGTCCCCAGTAGCAACCCCCGATCGAGCCGCTGCTGAATTGTCTTCAAGCAAGGGCCATGCTGAACGTCGATACTTTTCAATTTGCCCTTAAGCCCTGGACTTCGAGGCGAAACTATTTTTTTCTGAAAAGTGTTTCCCTCTCCCGTGAGCTCTGGGTCTCCTCATCACTTCTACGACATGAGTCTAGCATGAAGACAGCGCGTGCTGATCCGCAATGGTCGACATACCCGACATAATCAACAAATAATACCACGAGACACATTCAGTTATCTCACAAGGATGAGAAAGACCGACAGTTTTCACATGAAATAGAGTAGGGGATTGGTTGAAGCAGTGTACAGTACCTGCAGAGTGGCTTCGGGACGGTTTATAGTGGCTTTTGATGATGGAACAACTTGATCCAAAAGTGTATTTGAGCAAGTGGAGTGAGTTATGTATCGGTATACTCAGTATGTGGCTTCGGAGAATTTGCAGACCTGAATCGTAACTATAATACTTAAAGAGTCTGAGCCTAACGTTGTTTCAGTTCTTTTGCTACGTGTACGACTGTGGCCATGAACTTTGAGGTGTTGCTAAGACTCCTTACAACAGTGATCAGCCTCCTTGCATCAAAAGATCCTTCATCGAGCAGGGAATCACAGCCATTCTCGTCAAGACTATCTGACATGACAAGCGGCAATTAAGTGCATGAGCTTGTTGGTATGTCTGTGACATTCGTTTTCTTGTGAGCCAAGGCATTATGTTTTGAGAAACGCCAGCATCTCGGTGTTTGCTACTTGATTTAAAGACTGCCTCAGCTTTTTTCCACGACTACGTTGCACATACTGAAGATCGCGATCATCCCTCACAACAACTGCCGGTCTGTGGAAACCCGAACCGTACATACTAAGTTAGTAGCCATGAAGTTCAGCCTGAAGTAGAGGCAAAGTTAATGTTGATATGAGTTTGAGTATTTGGTCCTACCTTATTATATAAAAAATCTTAATTGTAAGATAGGGGCTGAATAAGTATAAAGTCTGGTAACTCCTACCCACAGCTGAACACAAACCTTGATATCAACATCCACAACTTCACAACTCAGACCTTACATCTCACATTATCACAAACAACCTACCTAAAACCTCACCATGTTCTTAAAAGCCATCATCACCGCTTCCGCTATTGTTGGCCTTGCTACCGCGGGGCCCTTCAGCACTAATACCACCACAAGTTTCTGTCCCACCCTTTGCGTGGATGCTATTAATGATTGTGGTGTCATGTACGGAGCGTAAGTTGATCCAACAGTGTAGAGTATCCCGGTTACTAATCTACCAGATGCTATCCCGTTTGCTCTCCTAAGTTGTATCCTACACCACCACCATGCACTCCTAGCACAGCAATTACTACACCTACCATCAGTCTTATCATACCAACCTCTAATCCCATCACGAACTCGACTCTGTAAATGGGATGCTACTGGCCCTGATTTGACTTGAGATGGCAAGAGCTCGGCGATGGAACGATGGAACTGTTCGACATTGGAAAGCTGTATCTTTCAGGATGATATCCTTTCCTAGGCACTCAAGATTGTTATTACTCTAGTTATACGACACGTCCTACTCTAAAATACCCAGACCTCTCCCAGAATTCCAGAACTAGTAGTAGGCATTACCTGGTGTGCTTGGACTTCGTGAATAATCATCTACCGTTCCTGGGAACGCGCCAACAGGTGCTGAAGGTCCGCCCTTGATATCGTCATCCGAACTTAGATCATCGACATATGTATCATCGTCTTCAGGCGGCGCGCGCATGGCTTCGAGTACATCCCTGTCCAGTGAGGGCACTTCGTAGGGCTTGAGTGTGTGAATCTCTCGCCCAGACGGCATCTTGCTGAGGAGTGTGTTGATGGGGGGTATTGCTTGTGTATTCATCTGGCATAGATGTTAGCGAATACCATAGTATTCTTGATATAGTGCTCACCGTGTCGTTAACTTTGTTCCACTTAGCATCAAGCATCTCTAGTACCCGAATCTCCTCCATCTTACCAGCATCGCTTCCCCATGCAGACTCCTTATCTACACGCCGATCTTCGCGCTTTTCTGTGAAATCTTTCTTTAATCGACTGAAGCTTAGTCCCTTCTTGTTGTTGTCTTTGATCTCAACACCTAGCTCTGATAAGCCGGCACGAACCCATCCAATGCCGTCTGCAACCTGGCCACCTATCTCGGCATCGATTCCAAAGAAACGACAAGCGCGAGCTCGACATGTTCGGCGAAGATCTTCTAGATATTTCAGAAGAGCACTATTGATCTTGCGCGAGCCAGAGCCTGCTGTGCTGCATAGAGATGATGCTTGGGCTGCATGTTCTGAGGCTGCTAAACACAGCCGGGCATAAAGATGGGCGCGAACTTTTGGGATTTCAGGGGCCTTGAACATCCACTCCTTGTCGTTCTTGTTCCGGTCCTGAGCGACTATTGCTGGATACGGATCGTCTTTAAGAACGGCTAGTAACGTAGCTTCAGCCAATGCTAGAGAACACAAGGCTCGAGCTGTTCCGGGAGCAACGTCAGGACATGGAGGGGTAGCTGTAGGGTGCTCCATTCGACCTGCGAGATAATCATACACGGAAGCAGCTTCGAGGAGACATTTCGTTGCGGTTGTGACTGCATTTGTTCGCTCCTGGGCCCCGAGAAACTCGCTACTTGTTGAATAAAGTGGTTGTAGGGCAGATCGAGCTGCCAGAACATGAGAGAAGCCCAGAGTTGAAAGTACAAAGGCGATTTCATGTTCTAAAGATGAGATCTTGACCCTGGCTCTCTCACGCCCTGGGACGACTTCTCCAGATAAAGTTGGTCTCCATTCGATAGCCGGGGGCGTCTTTTGCGTAACGATAGGCAGACCCTTGTTACTTAGACCGTCGTCCACTGCGAGTAGGTAGGGGATGTAGCCATTGACGCTGGAAATGACTGTGTTTAGATTTGAGACCTGAGAGCTTGGAGGAAGTCTCTTGTGCTTTTTCAGGGCATCTCGAACCACCCCACGATATGTGCTGGCGTTGAGGGGCAGTGAAGGATGAGACTCGGAGCTGAAGCTTGATGAGAATGAGAAAGCCGAAGTCGTTGGGAGAATGAAAGGGAACGGCATTTTGAATTAGAGGAGAAGAGAAGGGATCTCAGTCTGAGTTTGAGTATAGAGAGATTTGCAGTAACAAAAAAGAAAAGAGTCAAGATCAAGTTTTGAGTTCAACTGTTTTGCCAAGCTCTTGGTCCAGTCCAGGTCTGACGATATCACCATACTACCTAAGGTATATACTGCCTATACTGTGCGCATATCAGCTGTTTACGCACTGCTCAAGTGACGTCTCTGCCCTGGCTCCGGGGTTCGGAAGCTCCTTTTCGGCCGATGCTCTACAGTTGAAGCTCCACCAAAATTTCCGGGGTCGCATTGGATGTCATTTAGTTAGAGCTTCGCCTTCAGAGCTCCACGCACGCTCTCTCCTCCTCCTTCATCAACCGAACCACTCTTGTTAATGACGACCTTCGCTATCTCGAGGTGACAATGGCTGGCCCTTCTCCGTCACCACACAAGCCTCGTCGTAAGGCTAATACCAAGAAACCTGGCAATGGCAATGGCGGCAGCGAAAAGGCCCCTCGCACAGAAGCCTTAGTACGGGCGCCCGCGTTTCCTCTTGCGGCGTTTCTGTGGCCTGCGCGGACTTCTTTGTCGCAATGGGAGGTTCTACCCGTGATTCTCATGGTGGTTGGTCTTTTTAGATGGGCTGCTGGTCTGTGGGGATATTCTGGTAAGGATGGCCGCTGCTCGACTTGACCATCATGACACCTTTCGCTAACGAGGAGCTTGATATGCAGGGTTCAGCAAACCGCCCATGTTTGGAGATTACGAAGCGCAGCGGCATTGGATGGAGGTCACGACACAGCTTCCCATATCGCAATGGTATTTCCACGACCTTCAATGGTGGGGTCTCGACTATCCTCCCCTGACTGCCTACCACAGCTGGCTCCTCGGCAAGATTGGCTCTCTCATCGATCCCTCGTGGTTCGCGCTCTTCACCTCTCGAGGAAACCAGGACCCCAACCTCAAGATCTTCATGAGGGCGACAGTCATCATCTCAGAGTACCTCATCTACGTCCCAGCCGCGATTGTCTTCGTGCGACGATATAGCAGACTTCAGGGGGTCACCAACTGGACGGCATGGCTTGCGCTCGTCGCGATCCTGATGCAGCCTGCCACCATTCTTATTGACCATGTTCACTTCCAGTACAACACCGTTATGCTCGGATTTGTCATGGCGAGCATGTCGAGTATGCTGGCTGAGCGCTACAAGTGGGCTGCTGTCTTCTTCGTTGGCGCGCTGGGATTCAAGCAGATGGCTCTGTATTATGCCTTCAGCGTCTTCTCCTATCTTCTCGGCCGCTGCGTCTACCCTCGACTTAACTTTACTAGGCTCTTTGGAATCGCCCTTGTGACAGCTGTTTCTTTTGCTATCCTAATTCTGCCTCTGGTTCTTGGTACACTCTACGACAAGAGCCAGGGCATCGATGCTCATGGAGACTCCAAGGATTCTCCTTCACTTCCCCTATTTC